GTTGAGGGGCGCCCCTCAAAAGCTATTTAATGGCTGTCTGGAGGTATTATGGAAGGTTACAAATTAGTCTTCTAGTTTAGAACACCGTTTCGCAACAATGGGTCGAATAATCTCTTCAGATCTTAAAAACTGTAATATGCCAAAGAACGACAATGAAATCACGACTACTAAACAAGTGCATGAAATTGTGGCATGTGCGCGCCTCAGTTTACTTTTGTAATGTTATCAATATAGTTTCATGTTAAATAATATTCTATCAAAAACATAATATATACTATCAAAACATTTGTACTTCAGGTATGACAAATTTAAAGTTTTAGTTTTGTTCATTTCAGTGTGTTCGGCTCCAGTTGATAATTATAACGTCAGTTTTGCTCGTCAGTTAAACGTGTCTGTCTTCGCATAACCCATACATTTCAGGTAGCAAACTTAATTTTTGCATAAGTAAAACGAAAATCATTGATCTTTCCGATCTGTTACCTACTGACAGATTTGATTTGCGGTTCTCTTCAAAGTTGTTTTCATTTTTCGGTTTTTAATTCGAATTTTGTGGATGATGGTATCTTTCAATTGGATGACAAAATAAACATGGGTGGTTCCTCTGATCTCATCTACCCCTCACACGTATCACTCAAAATCAAAAAAGTCGTAGACCTACAAGTAAATTTTTGTTCGTCTATGACTTTTTTGTGTTTCTAGTCTATTTTTAATGTTGGAGTGGTACCTTTTAAACTATACGATTGATTTATTTATTATCAGTATAGGCCGGCCTATACGTTATATACGTTGCACGCAAATATTCTAATTAAAAATGTAAATAAAAGTGATTATATTGGTTAATAACACGATATTTGTTGATATGATGGTCTAATAATTAAATGCAGTCTTTTCAGCCTTGACATTTATTTGTAATTACCCACCCCAGGCCACTTCGTAAGAAAAATGCTCTATTCAAAGGGTCCCGTACTTTTCTGGCCACCGGGCCCCATGACTCGTCATTAACGCCACTGTTTACAAAACACAAAAATTGTACCTCTATCCCTTTCTGTGCTCTCGTCATTCCACGTATTTTCGACATTGACCAGATCCCGATGCAGCCTAGAAGTGACAGTAACCCGTAGACCACACAGCTTTCACCATGCTTTTCCGCATTTTTACCGGCAGTAAAACATGGCACAAAATATGTTATAATACACAGCCCAAAGTTATCGAAACAGCCAAAAAGACCGTGCTTCCATTCACCCATACTTGCTTCTCAGTTGATTTAATTCCAAGGTAGGCGTAGCTGGAAGGATAGCGAAGCAAGTTTGTTGAATTGCCAATTTGAAGTTACTTTAAAATTCGAATTTGATTAACGTGTGGCTAACCTCATTTGAATATTTATATAAAGTGTCACCATGGGTACTACTACACTTGTATCGACGTTTGGTGCAGTCGTTTGTGTTTCAACAATGATCTTTTGTCGACAGTCTTTTCCGCGTTGTTTTCTTTTAAGTATGATAAACCAATCAGGGTGCATATGCTACTGTTGGTAACTAGGAGACACAGGTGTATTTTGAATACACAGTAGTATAAGGTCTTGGTTAATAATACCTGGGAATAAGTAGATAAGTCATCGATGCATTACAGAAATTTACTAGGGCTGTATTAGGCCATGTATTTTATTAATTTTATTGATTGAACAAATATTTCAAAAATGCCCTTACAACACAACTGACATAAGTACACATAACGTAGCAAAATACGATATTGGCTTGAACGAAGGTACCTAATTTCATTTTCGCGAGGCATAGAGAAGCACACGGCACTTAGTTCATGTTTAGTCTCAATCTGCTCTCCCTGTGAAATACACACCGTTTCGTATCGTTGAACCTGTTTGCAGGTAGGGGTCCCAAGTTTGAATAAGTCCCTTTCAGGAGATCTGGTTTAAAACTGAGCTTTCTTAACATATTTTATGGTGATACCCATTGACACGGTTTTCCGTGAGACAACTGATAATAAAGTAATAAACACATGCGAATATTATGAATTTGGGGGGGGGGGAGGTGGTTTATTTTCCGGGAAATACTTGCTTGCAGGAGGCCACCCCGAGTTCCAGAAGACTTGGGACCCTGCGTTTGACACACCCTGCGCATGTATGTTGCATGATGTAGACCTACTCTTTGGAAAATGAAAGGGATTATCACCCCGGTATATTACTGCCCAATCAAATCACCAGTCACCAAGAATGGCACTACACTGCGCCTCTCGTGGGATTGGGATCCAGGGGCCAAGAAGCCCAATCTTGGATCAATTGAATTATTAACATAGCCCGATTTTGGTAGCACTATTGTACAAAACAAAATGGAACAAACCAAACAAAGTGAGCAAGGGTTGTATGGGTTGTATCACCAAGGAGATGCCTTACACCTCGGTATCTCCGTCATCATAATATCGTAGTAGGGGAACCTTCGTGCAAGGTTCTGAAACCGA